TGGCAGTTCAAACCCACCAGTCACTCCTTGGAAGGAAGGTTGGGCAATCTACTTCCATAGTGATACTGCCTCGGAAACCCAAGGAGGGGTTGCTATGAATCAGGTCTGACTCGATGGCACATAACAACAACAGTGGCACTAAGGAAGAAACATGCCTGGCGATCTCCTTCTGTAAACATTACAGCCAAGAAAGCCCTATGGAAGAGTTCTAATCTGTAACACATGGTGTCTCCTAAATCACAAATCAACAACAACAACAACAAAAAAGAGAAATCAACAATAAAATAAGAGTTTGAGGTACCTGTGGGGACACTGACATAGCTACACACTATTGTCATTTGAATGCATTAATCTAGACCTCAGAGAAGTCCAGCCTGCAAATGGGCTTTGGGATTGAGGACAAGGGAGTGGTTGTGGTCCTCCAGAGATATGGTGCAGAGTGAAAGCGTGGAGGGCTGCAAATAGAATTCTATAAGGGTCTGTGGCAGCTATGAAGAGAAGCACAGAATTGAAACAGAGTATATTCCCTTCCAAGGAGCTCTGGTGGTTAAAGTATTCAGCTGCCAACCAAAAGGTCAGCATGCTCTGTGGGAGAAAAGATGAGGCAGTCTACTTAGGTAAAGATTTACAGCCTTGGAAATCCTATGGGGGCAGTTCTTTTCTGTCCTATAGGGTTGCTGTGAATCAGAATTAACTCAATGGCAGGTGGGGGTTTGCTTTTTGGTTTTATATACCCTTCCAGACATTTTAATTGTACATGTACCTATATATTCTTCACATGAAATTGGATCATGCTGCAGATACATTTTCAGAGCCAGATTTATTTATTTATCCTCACAAAATAATAAATATACACTGGAGATAGTTGAGAAAATAGAGGCAATGAGTGCAGGCTTGTCCCCTGACCCAGATATGCAGCTTGAAAATAAAAAATACTCAGTTCAAGGCATGTTGAACTTGAGATGCTGAGTGACTTTTATAGCTGGGGTGAACATGAGGTTAACTTTTCAGTAACAAAAAGCCAAGGAGCCCTGATAGCACAATGGTTAAGACCTCAGCTATTAACCAAAATGTTGGCCAGTTCAAGACCAGGCAATATAATCCTGTGAAGATTACAGCCAGGAAACCCTATGGGGCAGTTCTACTCTGTCAGAATTGACTAGACAACACATAACTATAACAGTGAGTGAAAAGTGAGGTGAGGCAAGGGCACAAGCCTGACCAGTGTCCATCTGCTTTAGTGGCTCTTCTCACCTCCTTTTTCCTTCTCATTCTTCTTTCTTCTGCCCTTACACTTCTTTATTTCCTCCTTCTGGGAGATCATTGCCGATAGTTTTGAGGAATTGATGTGTTTTTGTGTCTTTTGAGGTGATCCTTTAATCCCCATGGAACTATCGCTTGCACCAAAAAAGAAAAATCAAACCTACGATTCTGATTCATAGCGACCCTAAAGGACAGAGTAGAATTGCCCCATAGGGTTGTCGAGGCCGTAATTTTTTTATTTTTTTTTTATGGTTTGGTGAGAGTTTACAGAGCAAATCACTCTTCCATTCGACAATTTATACATTTTTTGGAAGCAGGTTGCCACATCTTTCTCCTGTGGAGTGGCTGGTGGTTTTGAACTGGCAACTTTTTGGTTATCAGCCAAGTGCTAAACCACTGCATCACCAGCGCTCCTTTTTCATGGACCACGAGCATTTAATGTTGTTATTGTTAAGTGCTGTTGAGTCAGTTCTGACTTGTAGTGACCCTACGTGCAACAGTGCTGGTCCTGTGTCATCCTCACAATTGTTGCTATGCTTGAGCCCATCATTGCAGCCACTGTGTCAATCCATTTCATTGAGGGTCTTCCCCTTTTTCCCTGACCCTCTGATTTACCAAGTATGATATCTTTCCCCAAGGACTGGTCCCTCTTGATAACATGACGAAAGTATGTGAGTGTAGTATCCTATCACCGTGTAGTATCCTATCACTGGCAGTGTCGTACTTCAGGATAGATCTTGAAATGTTTCTTTGACGATGAATACAATGCCATTCCTCTTCAATTTGTCGTTCTTGGTGGAGTAAACCACATGATTGTC